ACTTTGCTTTTCAGAAAGTATTTTGATAGGCGATTATTGCATGTACCTCCTAAGAGAAGAGCAGGCTCTTCCTTTTTTGTTGCCAAATCGCACTTAGATGCCTTCCTAACAATATAAATTAGACAGGATTCAGATAGACAAGGGCTAAGTTTTGTTGATAACCAGTTATAAGGTCACCTTAAACACCACTGAAATCAAAGGACTAACTAGTTCAGTAGCTTCTCATGGAAGCTACTCTTCTCCTTGTTAATAGTTTAAAATATAAAGGAAACAGCAGCAATGACGGTCAGTTCAAAAGAAAAAGCAGATAGTAATGTTTTCATATTAAAATTGTCTTTGTTACATAATTTTGAAAGAGCAACTGTACAATGTTGCTCTATAACTAACTGTCTTCACCACAGTGTAATGGAAAAGTAAATCCAACAGATCAAGGAAGCATACTTTTAGGGGATGGGCTCTTATTCTTGTAAACGTTCATTTTATTTCTCTACATATAGGCCACATATTCAGGGTAGCCTGTAATATCAGTGGACACAGGTGATGGAATCGAACAGTATTTTCCAGGATATATATTCCAAGATGTTCGAGCCCAGAGGCATGTCCTAGATTCAAGTTACAGGTGCATGCCCCACTTACGCTCTTACTCAATTTTGGGGTAGGACTGAGGTAAACAGCTCCCTCCTTTTCACCACATTCTTGAGACAGGGAAGAAAAGGTGAAGGGTGACAGGAGGGATTTGGCCAAGTGTCCAGTGCATCTAGACATACTGCACCAAGCGCCACGTATGCCTAATTAGCAATGTCTAGATTAAGATCCATCCATGTCTTCCAACAACTAAGTTGAAAAATAGATCCGAAAGATATTCCTGCTAACTATGCTTTCAAGAAGGATTACCAATTAAGAGATGTGCAGAGTATGTGCAGAGATGTGTGTTTGTTAAGCTATTCAGAGGGTTTTTTTGTGTTTTTTTTTTTTTCTTTTCTTTTTAAATCAGGAATCTTGCACCTTATTTCCATTGAGGAGAATCATAGAATCATAGAATGGCTTGGGTTGAAAAGGACTACAGAGATCATCTAGTTTCAACCCCGCTGCTATGTTCAGGGTCACCAACCACCAGGCTGCCCAGAGCCACATGCAGCCTGGCCTTGAATGCCTCCAGGGATGGGGCATCCACAACCTCCTCGGGCAACCTGTTCCACTGTGACACCACCCTCTGTGTGAAAAACGTCCTCCTAATATCTAACCTAAACCTCCCCTGTCTCAGTTTAAAACCATTCCCCCTTGTCCTATCACTATCCGCCCTCATAAACAGCCATTCCCTCTCCTGTTTATATGCTCTCTCCAAGTACTGGAAGGCTACAATGAGGTCTCCCCGGAGCCTTCTCCAAGCTCCACAAGTCCAGTTCCCTCAACCTTTTTTCATAGGGGTAGCCCAAGCTACAATCATCCAGACAGGTCTCTCTCTCTTGAAATACTTCCACGTTTGCTCATATTTCCTCTGAGATACTGGCAACATATAAAGCTACCACTTCTTCTCTTTCATTTGAACTCCTTAGAATTGAATCACCTACTCAGAGCCCAGTGGCTACAAGGATCATTAAAAGCCAGTGGAACAATAAGACATACATCAGGTCGTTCCACTTTTCTTAACTTCCATTTACATCCACAGACTTTCAAAGAGGTGAATAGAAGTGACTGCTAAGAAGCAACTCCAAATACTTCTATCTGCGTATTTAGTTTAGGAACACCAGTGAAGACCTTGGAGCTCACTTGCAGCAGCATTAGGGGCTCCAAATGAATTTCATGAACACAGAGACCATTAGTTCACCAGAGAACAAATTAGCATCTTCTTATGATAATATAATGGCACAATTCCATACAATGCACAATTCCATACAAAACACTTCTATTTTATGTTGCATGCTTGGTCCCCCCTTTCCTCCCCGTGTGGGTGGGATGTGACACCTCCTTATCTGACTGCCAGAGCTGTGATGAGGGAAATGATGTTAGAACTGAGCTGATGTCAGAACTGAAGTCCAAGATTATTTTTACGAAGGATGTATTTTATTTTTGTTTCTTGGATATATCTGCCAGAATATAGTTTTAAGAATATTCTTTGGAAAACCATTACACAGCAGATTTGCTGCTCCGTGACAATGTAATGATTTATCACTCCTAAATTTCCTTTTTAAATTAGAAAGAAAAAGATGAAGTCAACCACCGCTGTTTTACTCTGTCTATCATCACAAAGAATATCTTACTGTGATAGCTGTCCAAAACACTTTTTAGGGATATCACTTTGTATTACATTGCATTTACATGGTACATCACATATCTAAGGTTTGAAAAGGTGTTCTTTTTATTATTGTAAGTAGAGCGAAGTGTTTGTTAATATTTCAGGTAGAGGTACGAAATGAGAAGAAACTGCTCTTTTTAGAACAGGTATAAAAAAGAAAAAAATACTTAAAGTCCTTATTCTGTGTTTTTACGGAAAAAGAATAATTTTCCCTTTCTTGCTACCATTCCTTCAAACTTGGAAAAGAGGTGAACAGGTTTTCTTTTTTCTTTTTTTTTATTTCAGTGAAGAGTCTCTACATTAGTTCAGAAATAAGACTGTGTGGAAGAATTGACAAGATGTGTGGGTTAACATCTATGAATTTGTGTAAATGAGCAGAGCATTAAAAAATATGCACCATGTTACCTTGGTAAAACATTTCATTGGAAAATGTGGACCTAAGTTTGATCAGGGTCATTTGAAATGACATGGACTACACTTAACTTTTTTCACTTGCTCCAGTATATAGAAGAATAAGGCATGCTGAGCAAAATGCATACATACAGCTTCACCTACCTTACTCTAGAAGCATGTCTTGACTAGGCACAGGGGATGCATTCTGTGGTTCTCACACCTTGCATGTGGAAGCAGTGTTTTACATAATGTCTTTTTAAATTCCTGGCTGCACTACCTGATAGCTAATTGTCCACACAGTATTCTCCATTACTGATTTCTAGTTTTAAAGTGTATGAAGTGCAAATAAAATCAAATTATCTTCAAGTATTTTATTTAGATGGAATAATTGTTAATTTTTCACAGTGGTCTTGTATCCTTGTAGGTAAAGAACACTGGACAATGATTATAGGAATCAGAATGCAGAGGACAAACAAAAATGTTGAGAATATTTGTTTTAAAACTACCATTTGTGTTATATGCTTTTTGTTTTATTCTATTTATTTATTTATTTACTACTTCTAATTCATCACATTCTTTTCTCTATTTAAAAACTGCTGTTTTGCTTCCAGGCACATTCCCTTTCTCCTTATCTGAAAGTACGCGAAGCCTCTGTTCTTGCCAGCCTACATTAAACACTGCAATACAATTATCCTTAAGCACTGGACTGTTATCTCAGGGAACGGAATTAGATTTTCAAGCTTAGAGAACATCACATTATTTACACAGATTTGCTTTAAAGTATTATATGATGGTGAGGGTGGTAAAGAGACTAAAAAGATCAGGCCACTGATTTAAAACAGCACAAGAAGTTGAGTTTGAATCTCAGGGTAGCTGCTGAGTCTTATCAACTAGGCTATTGCCCATTCAAAAAGCATGGAAAATCCGTTTTCCATTTAGTTTAGCCTCTGAGTTTCTGCTGTAAAAGTTTCCTCCCGGAAAGCTTATTTGGGACTGAAGGGATTTCTGCAGAACGTCTCAGTGTCAGTTTTTCAAAAACACAAACGATCAGAATTTTCAGATAAGAAGAACAAATCAGCTTTAGATTGACTTTCAAAAAGATCCCGGAAATGTTCATTTTGTTTTGGGATCTCAAACATACTGCCTACCTGTACAGGCATAAAGGGAAGAGTTCAAGATATCTCATATTCACATAAACTGTTTCTTTTCCTTAATAAGGTGTCTTATACTTATCTGTTTCAGCATAAAACAAAAACATTCAGATTTTCTTAAATTGGCTTATTGACCTTATAGCTGAAATTCAAAAAGACTACTTAGCATGTGCTGTGCATTTTAAATATTTGGAATGTTGCTCAGCATCGTTACTATTTAAATTTACTCTGTCGAGAGTATGTCAATGTATTTTTCATCCATTAAGACTTTATGATATACAGTAGTGACTGTTGTAAGAAAAACCCTGTCACAATTTAAATTTGCTTTATATATCTGGGTTTTACTTAGGTTTTACTGCTCTGAAATTTGACAAAAAATCAAGATGGAACAATATTTGTGGTATTTCCTAAGTAGAATATCACTGAACAGGCTTACAAGTTTTCTAGTGGAAGTTACCCACACCTGTATGTGATTTCTTACCTCCACCTGGCAGTGTATTGCCAACACTGCCCATCCACCATTCAATCCCCTGCTCACAAAAGCCAGGATCACTTTTGCCAGTACGACTTAAGCAGTACGACAGCTATCATACCTGTCCACCCTCACATCTGAATTTAGAGGGTAAGTGACTCCTTATGTGTATCTCAAATACAAATGGGAGCCTCCTGTCAGAGGCAGCCTGTGCCACTCTGAGGCTGAGCCAAGAGGCAGAGAGCACCCTGCCCTATCCCAGCTTGCCTCCCCAGGCCCTCCAGCTTCCAGGGCATTGCTGAGCACCTGCAGGTCACACCATGCACCAAGCCAAACCTGCTGCCACTGGAATCACAGCAAAACTCACCTGAATTCAATGGAAATGAGCACAAAGGTTGAAATACAAAGATAATGCTATGTGGTACTAATGTATATTTTCTTCTGAATTTGAAGTGAGGAAAAAATGGAGGGAAAAAGAAAAATGTGAAGACATTCTAAGAAGCTACCTTGTCCCTTCATGAACTAAGGAAGCATATTCATTTCTTAGCCAGATAGAACTGCAGTGACTGTTGCCATTACTCTTCTTTTTATTATGTAAATTAATTTTTTTTTCTCAAAAACATTTCTTTCCCTTTTCCTTAGATACAGGCTAAAATATAAGCAGATAGATATAAGTAAAAATTCCAACCTTTATTCCACTTTGAACAAGCTTGTGTATATCCAAAAAAGGTTCCTTGATCAGATCTCCTTCAGGACTGAAAATCTTCACATATCCTTCTTTCTCAAGAATGAAGAGGCGATGAGATCCATCCCCACAGTGCACTGCTCCAACAGGCTGCCTCAGTCCACTCATGACTTCCTGAATACAGAAGCAGTTGTGCTTGTGTTTTCTAAAAAAAAAGTTAAACAGTAGTGAGAAATGGCTTCTTTCTCGTAACCGTGACAAAATAATGTCCCTAAAGATAAAATGATTTTACAAACAGCTATACAATCCAGCATAAATCATTTCCTTGAATGCATGCAAGCAGACAGTACTGAAAATCAAACTGAACTTCACTTGAACAAAATTTGTTTTGTATATATACAAAGAGAAAATCAACTAATCTTAGATCTGAAATGTAGGCTAATACTAAAATATGGTTTTAAAATGTAGTTTAACAGAGAGAAAAAATATTTATGAATAGAAAAAAATCTACTGTTCAATAAACACAGTAAATTCCAGCAATTCTATGATTTTCCAAAATTTGATTTTGAAAGTCCATTAGTGACTTATAATGAGACAGTTTATTTACAATCTAATTTAATAATTTTCACAGTGAAAAATAAACAGAAGAAAAAAATTGGAAAACATAATATAGATACTTTGATAATAAGCCTATCGTAGTTGCTAAGTAATGTTAAATTGAGGTAGAAATGACATCCTAGAAAGAGGTATCATCCACAACATGGGCCCCAACCAAGGTCCACGGGTTGGATCAAGCCAAGATTCTAACACCTTTTAGCAACTTAAATATAAAATGTTAGTGAGATATTGAAGCTAATGTAACTTTCTCTTCAATATACACCAGCTACAGCAACAGAAAGTACCATCTGGAAAACACAGCTGCTGAGCATAAGCACAGACATTTAGCTGGTTCACTGTGAAAACCACAGGCTTTGCGATTTTATTTTCTTCAGATTAAACAACATTTATCTTTATGAACCTGCTGATCTCTTCCTCTTTGTCATATTCCTCCATGTGGTCCAGGGAGTTAGAAGCTGGCCCTCGCACTTGTTTTCTTGGAAAATCTGGAAAGCATACACCACCATCTTTTCTTGCATAGTAAAAGCAAAACTCATCAGCTGTAGTTTGGAGAAAACCTTAAAAATGCAAAAGAGCATACAAATATTTAGTGTGTTGTCATGTCTGCAGTTTTGAGCTGTCAAACTAATCTTTAAATAGATTACATATTGAGTGGAAAAAGAAGTCCTTTTAAACAAAGTGCTGTCTGCAAAAAAGGACTGCTCTGAATAAATGCAAACTATTACCTTTTATAGTTTATTCATTCGTATTAAACTTTTATTTTCAATGTGCTTAAGTAAGAAGAAAACAATTCAAAATGACCCTATAGTTAGTCATAAGAAAGCAAAGGGGCAAAGGTGAGACTTAAGGCTGCCTATATTTTTTCCTGATTTTATATCTAAAAATGAAGTTTAGTACCTGCTGCAAAATAGCTTGACAAGCTTTCATTTAACTTTCTTGCTTTTAGTTTTGTATTGGATCCCTTTTTTATTGCTTTAGCAAAAAAACCAGTATATTTTGTTACTCTCTGTCCAAAAAAATAATGAAAATGGTAACTCTTCACTGATTCAAGAATTTTAAGAGTGGCTTGTTGTTGTAAAACCTTTGGTAAAGACTTTGGTAAAAGATGTGCAATAAAGACTTTTGTGGAATGCTGGCACCAAAAACATCAGTTGGAGAGGTGAATACCTGGTGTCCCAGAAAGCAAGAAGTACCTGCACCTTGTTGGCAGGTAACTGGCCTCTGGTGAGCTCCTGACATGAGAGCGGGTAAATGCAATGTCCCAGTGAAAAAGGGGTTGTATCATGCTGCATTGGAGCTGACTTTAAGCTGCCCCTGGATGAAGGATGCTTTTTAGGTTTTAGGTTAAAATAGAAGGAAGTTTAAAGACAGGGGAAACAAGATGTTAGTAAAATGAGAGCCTTTAAGGAAAGCCCCCGACACTGATGATACTACAGTATGTTTAATGACAGTAAAAATATCTCTGTCCACAAACATATATCTAGTCATTTCTAGCCAGTTTTTAATTGAATCTAAGATAGAATTTAGCTAGTTATACATATTTCACTAAAATAGACGTTAACATAATGTTACCTAAAGTGCCTAAAGTCACCTTTCTTACTTTTTGCATGTTTAGCATACTGCTTTAGGATCTGTGTAGCGTGGTCCAAGACATAACTGATAAGATACGCAGAACTAGCGCTTCACTGAAATTACAGGTCTAATTTATGCATGACTTTACCACTTGTGAATAATGCTGTAATCCATTGATCTTGGCCGTAAAACCTCTGGCTTACAACTTACAATAAGAGCTGATCAGGGACAGCTGTGTTTCTTTGGAAAATGCCAATTTCTTAAAAGCAACCTTTTTTTCAGAAAAGTTATCAATTGCGACAAAATTTTAGTTAAAATTACGCTTCTGGTCCAAAATGAAACTTCTTAAAAGAAAAAGAGGGAAACAGACCACAAACTTCAAACTTTGTATCATTATACTCCGATGTCTTATAATTAGGGCGCATCATTAGGAAGAGGAATATTCAGGTCCCTTCATCTGTCAGGCAGGAGTTTGACCCTAAGTCTCCCATTTCCCAAGTAAATGTCCTGACAACTGCTTTATTAGCTATCCTGGGGTGGTCTGTCTGTGGCTTTCTTCATGGAAAATTTCGAAAGACTTCAATTTCTTCCTTATGTGGAATAGGAAAATTTTTTAGATCCCAGAATTTTTGTGGAGTGGAAAGCCTTTCCCACCCAACTATACTTCTTTTCATATGCATCTTCCTTTAAAAACTTTGGACAAATAACATGACAAAGCCTGCCTTTGGTTTCTATAAAACAGTATCTGGAAACACATGGCAGTGTGTTGTGGTATAAAAGTTTAATTACCATGATTTGGAGCTTCAGTAAAAATCATCTGTGAGGAGCTGGTTTTAATTTATAGTAGTTATTTGGAGAAAATGTGAGATACAATTTCAAGTGGAACAACTGAAGAGGAACGCTGATATAATCACAGCCTAGTATTCCAAGGCTTTGTAGATAGAATGCCAAAATCAAAGGTAATCTAAAATCTTGGAGTTATTTGACTTAAGAATACACCGTTTTATATTTAATAATTTCTTTCTCTAGGCACAGAAGATCACTACAGAAGATGCAACAGAATATTAGAGGTGTACAGTTTCCAAGAATTTCTAGCATTTTCTAAGTATGCCACCTACTATTTATTATAAATTAACTGCTCTTGGCTTGAGTTTTATCTTTAGTCAGAATAACTGAGAGCATATTTTTGATCGTGTTTTTCTACTCAGTAAATGTTCATTTCAAATAACAATCTGATGCAAACTCACTTAACTAATGCCTTAGGCAGCATCTTTTCTTACATGTAAGACTACTCTCTTTTCCTTATGAAATATTTTATCGTGCACTTAGGTACATCTTGCACTGCAGTTGCCTTCTGCAACTTCTGGTTTGAAAAGATAAGGCTTACATTCCAGTCTCAGAATTGTTCCTAAGAAGTGAGTTTTGAATTAAACTATGAAAATTAGAATTAAACTATAAAAATTAGTCAGTGAATTGCTAAATTGTTGCATTGTTGACGGGAATGTGACCTCTGTAAGTACAGTTTCACCTGTGCATCTGGGATAGTTCCGTTCTGTAAGGAAACTAATTCACAAAAAACATCTGCTTCTGTCTTCTATATGCTAGATTCACCGTACAAACAGCTTCTGTGAAGACAGCTTAAAAACACTCCTACTTTCCTATCCACTTACAGCCATTTAATGTTTCCTTTATTGCGCTTACAGTGTAAAATCTTTAGTTGAGAGATTGCTGTTTTGTTCAGTGCTTGTACAATGTCCAGAAGAACGGTCCATGACAAGTGCCCCTAAGCACTAGAATTATTCTGGGGAGAAGAAAAGGATAATTTTGCTCACATGGAATTTATCCAAAAACAGCTCTGTCACCATCCACCATGAGAACTATGCCTAATAAGGACTGCGACGTTCAGTCCTGCGTGAATTTCGGCTCAGCACACTGAATTGAATACCATCTCATCCACTCCTTTGCAAAGATCTGCACTGGCTTGAAGAGTGTGTGAAAATCAGGCTCATCTGCTTTATTCCTACATTGCTGACCTTGAGCGTACAGTTCTGTATTGTGCAAAAGAAGTGTTTGCTTGTTTGGTTTTTTTCCCCACTAATTTGCATTACCAACAGCTAGGTGAGAAATTTTTCACTTCTTTTCTCAACTCTCAGTGTAAACTAAAGCAAAGAGGTGATTACAGGCTGATTTGTTCAAAACATACTATGTGCAGTGGTAGCTGACATCACTTCCTACTGGTTTTCAAGTGACTTGTAGCTCTTGCTGCACTGCTGCATTGCAGGTACCTTAACAAAAGCAGTGTCATGGTTAGTCCTCCTGCTGTTCTTATCAGCAGTAGCATCACTACTATTATTCTCTAGGTTGACTATGTGCACGATAACTATAAGTAGACCACACCAGAACTTCTGGAGGTGTTGTTTCAGTTGCAGAATTTCTCAGTTGTTCTTTTCTTTTTTGGGCTGGGGTGCCCCTGTTTGGAGTAAAAAAAAGAATAAAAAATACTATCTACCATCTGTTCTGGCAATGCCTGTGCTCAGATCTAGGCCTGGATCTGGATTCATACACAGTCATCTGGAATCTATTTCTTCAAATGGAAATGAGGCAGTGCATGTAGTTCAAAATCTGTCCAATGTCTTTGGTTGGCAGAACCCTCTGTGGCTGAGGCACAGGTTTGTTCTTTAGAATATGTTGCCACTATGGGCATGAATCAAGTGTTTGCTCATGCCAGGAGGGAGAATTGGCCATGCCTTTCCTTATGTAGCTGTTTTAATAATAAAAATTAGACAGTCTTCTCTTATGATCTTGTAAAACTTAAAATTCCTATTGTTTGAAGAGTCTTTGTTAACTCCAGCTTCCCATCAGTAATCACTTAAACTGAAATTCACAGTAATGATTAGATGAGAAATAATGACCAAAGTCAACCAGTATGAAGCAGGGAACTTCCATAGTCAGATTTCGTGAAACGTTGTGCCCTCACATCCATAAAATGCTAACAGCTTCCAGTTATTCTGCTTGAGTAAATAAGTGGGCCCTCTTAGTCTGTGGACATTCAAAACTACTAAATAAGTCACTGGAAATCCTGATACACTCCTAACTGGTGGGCAGACTGCTATCTTCAAAAGAATCAACCAATGATATGTGCCCATTTTCATCTTTGCAAATAGAAAAAGAACAAGAAATGAATTTCTGGAGCCAAGTCATCAGAAAACTAGTGTGTAGTTTCTTAGTCTTCTTGGTTAATTTGTACTGCTAACATTTGAATTCTAGAAAAGGTGCTTGTTCTCTTCAATCGCTAATAACATTTCTAATTTGTGCAGCACATAAGGGCTAGAATTACTTTTATAGTCAGCACTTTCCTTACAGTCCTTTCTATGTGTTCAGGAACAATTAGCACTCCTTAATGGAAGAAAAGAAATTATTTGACTTTTTAACAAATGCAGAGTGAATCTCTGGCAGAGACCTCTGGTCTAGGGGCCTGTTAATTCCCAACTCTTTGTTTAATCCTCCAGGCAAAACTGAAAACATAGCTTCCATGTTTTTCCTTTTTCCTTTTGTAATAAATATTATGGACAGATGGGTCTCACAAGAAAAACGAAAGACCTAATTAGCTGCCTTTTTAATTATTTACATTTTCAACTGTACATTAAAACATATTGAAATCCTCCATGCAGTCTTCTCAAAAAGATGAGTATGAATTCTAGTACCTTCGTCAAATACTGGTGTAGGCATCCACAATCATGTGGACCAACCAGACCACCTAAAGAACCCTGCTTCTGGCTGCAAGTACGCAACAACTTTTTTTTTCTAATACTACCCACTTTCAGAAGAAGTATATAGAATGATTATTAGTGTCTGATTGATGTAGGAAAAATCCTATTTTAACTGATGCTAAAGTATGTAAGCTCTTTTCCTGCAAAGCACAGTGCTCTGTCCAGTGCTAAAGTTATGCTTTCATCTGGTTATCTTTCAAGGCAAGCTGGGTGGTCACAGAAAGCACTTGACATCTTGATGCACTTCAGCAGTTTTACATATACACAAACTTTGTAGAAAAATAAATTTGTCATTCGTCACCACATATGTTGATCTGAGGAGTGAGGTTCCTGTGGCTATAGCTCCTGTGCTGCTCAGCCCTTTCTCTTTCTCTCTCGCTCTCTCCATCTTCTCCTTCTTCCTCCCCTTTCCCCCCTTTCACTTTTTCCAATTAAAAGAAGTTGTTTCCTCAGAAACTCAGAATTTCACTAAACAACCGTAAGCGACTTGCTCTGCCGAATATGCTCATCGTTTGCATTAGTTACAACTCATGTAAAAAAAAACTTTTTGTGCTGACTTCTCACACGGCCTAAACATCCAAAATATCTAATCTATTATCGCTGTTCAGCAGGCAGTCTTGGCAACTGTGATCCATTCTGCTTCGCTTTGGGGAATGTGATAAAGAGCAAGAAACAGCTGGTTTGAGAAAGCCTTAGAAACATCTCTTAGTTTATAAAGACAATAATAATATTTTCATATTTGAATGGGTTGAGATACATGTTAAACCACAGTAAAGGGGAAAAAGTAAGTCAATTCAAAATATTTTCTCAAGCCAATAAAAGAACATTGCAAAAAATCACTGCACTCTTGGGATTTCATAGAAAACAAGTACACACTGTGCACATGCAATTAAAAACCCTCCTCCAAATCTCATCCACTTAAACTATCCCCTTTAGTTAAATACGTTTATGTTCTATTGCAAAGCTCTGTTCATATTTCAAAAAGTACTATTTGTAAATTCATTTTTCTTATCCTTATGAACTCTGCTTTCCAGTCTGTGTTGCTAATCAAAAATCTTAACCGGTTTAATTATTTTCTCCTGTGTGACATTATTTATAAGCACTGTTTGGAAAAAGAAAAAAAGCATAGTTTAGAAATGACAGCCTTCAACATGTAAATAATTTACTATTGAGAATACCAGAGATGTGATTTAATACAGTAGTACATTACAGCAGTGTTTCTAAAATGACCATCTTCAGTGGCTATTTTGTTGATTTATTTACAAGTGATAGCACACGTTTGGTGACTGCCTTAGACAATACCGGTCACATTCTGCTGATGGTTTTGTCAAGCTAACTTTTCTGGCTATAGTGAGGAAGTGTTAGGTTAGTTCAGAATTTGGTTGTTAACAGCATGTTGGAACCAATTCAAAGATCACAGAAGTCTATCAAATAGCTCCCTTTGATTTCAAGGGGCTTTAAACTACGGAAAAAACTCACAAGTTCCTAGGGTAACATACCCAGAAAAAACACTTTATTTATCAGCCTGTAGTGTCTGCAGCTTGCAGTGCCAGCACTCTTTCTTTCTTGTATTTGAAAGCTATCTGTCATTTAGAACAGCCTTTTGGATGGCCGACTAATTGCTTACATGATTTGAGTGAACATACCAACATACAAAAAAGGTAATAGCTTCAGGTGCCTTTGATAACAAATAACCTTGTGTTTCATGGAGAGCTGAATAGCAGAGCTCAAAATATTAACTCTCCATTTAAGAAAGAATCACTACAGAGGCCCTGAAATATTCTGTCTTTGGGCAAAATCCCCGAGATATCAGCGGTGATTTCATCTGGTTAAGTGTTGGATCTATGACTACTCAGGCAATATCAACATTTCAAAGCAGGCATCCTTTAGTTCCATATTTTGTTATAGGTTTTACCTGGTAAGTTACCTCTGCAAGTATAATAGAATTCTTTACAATAGTCTTTGCACAAGTAGGGAAGAGTTAGTTCTCTTTCAGAAGTTTCCCCTTTCTCACGTGAGTGGAAAAGATTCTGGGCATGAGGTGAGCAGTGTGCACATCTGATTTCCTCCAGTAGCTTCGCACATTCTGTGTTGTTCGTGACGGAAAGTATCTGCAAGCCACAAACCAAAGACAAATAAGCACATGACCTATTTCTCCATCTTACACATAAAGATTTTATGATCTAATGTAATAAATTATGCTAATAGAACCAATACAGTCTGTAATAAATGCATCGTGTTTCATGTCGGTTTTCCAGAAGAATCAGGTACAAAAATTGTTACAATGAAATCTGCAATATGCCATGAGTACAGTGATATTTCAAGTGTTTGCTTCTCTTTCCCAGATAAGAATAATAGCAGTGAAATTATTTTATGGATTCACACCTGCAAACTCTTATCGCACAAGCAATCTGTGAACTAGGCTGATCATTTATACAGGATCTACAGCAGCAGGCCTTCTGCTCATTTATGAGAAATACCTAAAAACACAGCTTGAAAGGTGACCTATTCAAGTATGTAGAGAGTACAAGCAAAAATTCTACCATCAAACACATCAGGGAAACCACATGCAGGTATTTGTTATGTAGGTGCATCTTGAACTGTCCCACAGTCTGGCTACTGAGGTGCTTGCTGTGTAGTTCGGCAGGTGCCTGGGATTGTTCATTTTTTAAATGCTGCTCTTCATTTTGCTCTCTCTAATGCAGACTACTTGGTGGAAAAAGCTGTATGTTTTCAGACGTTTCATAAGGGAGAAAAAGAATTTGTTCATAGCATCTTGTTTCTCTCAATTTTGAAAGCGTAACTTTCTCCTGAAAAAAGAGCATATATTATGCATAGTACTTGAAGAAGCACTAAACCACGATTGATGATGTGTGTAAGTAAACACACAAGCCTAAGGAGCGCAATGTCATCAAATCGTGAAAAATAATGGAAAACAGCATAGCTGTCTTTATTAGTCTTTGAATGCAGTGCACTTTGTTAATCTATTGTTAACCACATGGACTGTTTTTTGATCATTCATCCCAATGGTGGATAATGGGAAATGTGTTCTCAGCTGAGAAGGACTGAATCCGATCCAATGCAAAAACAAAGCTCAGGTTATTTCAACTGTTTGTTTAACGTGGCTATAAACAAAGACTGTAAGAGGCTTATTTTAAGAAATATTAATGCTGTAAGTATTTATATTCCATAAAATGTATAAATATTTGTAAATGTTGCATTTGAAAATAGCAACAAAGTTTTGCTGGAGTTCGTATCTGACTTGTTTTGTAGAATGACTTTACAATGTGTCATTTCCCTGCAGGATAACATAGATGGGAATTATCTAAATCACTTTTGATAAAATTAGTTATTCGGCGCATGAAGACTCTTACTATGTTTGAGTATACTGTCTCATAGGCTGGCTGCCTTCTGGGGCGCAGCAGTTTGGTAACACAGTTCTGAACTCATCGCTTTATTTACATATCATAATTACGCAAGCATAAACCACTTGAGAGAAATACACTCCCCATTGTTTTAAACAGCTATGTGTTCAAACTATTATACAATACACGGCCTGCGCGGTTACACAAAATCCTGTTTAAAGGAGCATTAAGTTAGAAGATAAACTCTTTCAAGGAAAATTAAGTCTTAACTATGTATTGTCATAAGGCTAAGTGAAATGTTTAGTAAAGTTTAGTGTTGAACTTTAGACCACTGATGGGAAGAACACCATTTGGCCTCCACCCCTATTCTGGAAGAGATGCCATTGGCTTTCAGTATAATTCCTCCAGATTTGCTGAAATCACTGAGTATATTACATGTTGTGTTCTTTACACTCTCTCTTCGCAGATTATCTTCATCTTCACAGCATCTGCAATTAAGTAGTGTGACTAACATCAGCCATGTATGATTTATTATCTCTCTTCAGATCTTCTTTGGGATTATAATTGTCTCATATCTTCCCAGTCCTTCCCCCAAGGCTTATTTATTTATTTATCTATGTAACTTGAAGGCCAATTAATTGCACGTTGCATGTATGGTGAAAGGTTTGTCTTCACCCTGAGTTTACTGAATTCCTTCCACAGCCTGAACTCCTCTCCAGAAATAAATAATAATAATAATAAAAAGAAAAAGAAAAGGGTTCTTTTGCTAGACTTTTTCCTTGGGCCATAGCAGCACAATTGTTAACCTTAGCCATCCTTCTTGAGTTTCAGATGTTGTTCTGGATGTGACAGATCTGGGAAACATGCCTCAAGGACAAGAACTAAAAATATAATTATAGCTACAATTATAGTATGACCAAAGTAAATAATAGCTACAACTTTGAACTTGACTTAATAGTCTCTGTGATTGCAGTCAAGGTGCTTGCAGTAATGCACAATGCTGAGGCAATTATCTGCATCATCTGGACTTTCTTAAAGAATGATGGCATCCTGACAAAGTACCTTGGTGTTCTGATGGGAAGCGGTGTATACAGTTCAGTCAAATCATTGTCTGCCAAATGGAACAAAGTCTGGGGTCAGCAGCGGATGACTGAAAGCACTGTCCATAAATGCAATTTTTTAAGAACTTGATGACATTAGCAAGCTGGAAGTTTTCCTTAAGTAAGGATGAAACGACCACTTTGGTTTTTCCACCAAATGAAAGTGCACCATGACTATAGACTCTTCAGAGTCCTTGCCTATATTCAGTAGTATCACCTACTTTGCAGAAGTCTCAGATTTTTTCATCAGTGAGTTAATCTCAAGCAGTAGGCTTTCTTGCGGTAGCGGTACGATGGTGTGTTTAGAAGTGCAAGTAAACACGAGGTATTACTAGGTAAATATTCAGTCTGTTTATTGAATTAACTCCACAGTGATGCAAATATAAAATTCTGCCACTTCTACTGGAAGACTCCAGAAAGAATTATGAACAGGAAAAAAAAAAAAAGAAAAAAAGAAAAAAAGAAATTACAGGATATCAAAGCTAATTTACTGTTTCTTGTGGAAAATGTAATTGACGTTGCCTGGTGATACAGAAGAAGAAATGCTTGCCAATATTTCAGTCCTCAGAATTAAGACAAAAGGATCCTAATCCCCCTGAGCAGCTGCTATCCAGGAATTAACCACAGGAATTCACCCCCTCATGTCATTTCTGGAATGAATCTTGGTCATATAATAGCTAATCGGAAGATTAAGGAATCAGAGTCAATCAATTATCTGAAAATCAAGTATGTTATTTAACTTTTAGAATGCTAAAGCAAAATCGGGTGGTAACGTTTGCTCTGTGTGAGGTCTGATGTGTAACTCTCTACTGGCTGGGAGATAGGACAACCATTCTATTCTGAATCTCAGTAAATTGATAACGTATTTATCCTGGAGTATATTAAATCAGTTGTAAGTGAAAGCTGCAATACTTATCTGAATGAACTTTTTTTGTTGGTTCTCCACTTTGCAAATGACCCTACGGTTGACAATGGCTTTTGGTCTTTTGAAGAAATGTAAACTAATTTCCTGCTTCAATTTTTGATGTTGTGTGCGAAAACATCGAACTTCAGTCGTTTAAACTAACTGTGCTCTGGAAAATATGTAAAACTCCCAAACATTTATTGCAACATGCCTAATAATGATTATGCCTGCTGCTGAATAAGATCTTACAACATCTGTAAGATCATCCTTTAATCTTTTGCCACATGACAGTAAAACACAAAGACTAAAGGTGAGATAAATCCCAGAGCGCGGAGGAAAGCATAGTATACAACATTGGTCTATCGACAAAAAGAATAGTGCAAGGAAGAAGAACCAGAGGAAGGCACAGTGGACAGAAATTCTTTACGATGAATGTAGTCATCTGTTTTGTGTACCCTGGTCATATCTAGAACGAAAGGCAACATTGTTTTGATGCTAACCCATAAAAACCCAACCCATGGTGAAATAAGTCATTGCACTAAGCTGTATTTGACATGCAAGCATTTATGTCTAAAAATCATATGCTTAGGAGATAGTTCAGCTGTTGGGTTGAACATATGCTTCTTCTGTACTATAGAACTGGATTATGTCATTAAAGAGTTCGGTTTCAATTTTTAGGGTAATATGTAAATAGATCATTGTACTAAGGCAGCTGTTAAAGGGACTCCGAGATGAGTTATTTGTTTAGTTGGATGTGTTCAACAATAGCCTTTGTTCGTGAAAGAGCCAGAGCAAACAAATGATTGTAAAAGGGCACACTTGAAAACAATTACTTTTCACCCTTTCCTTGACAGCTTTGGCTGTGAAGCCAACTGAGGTAGAGAGGACTTCCTCGCCTGTTGGGCTATAAGCAAACTTTCAGAAAAACTGGCATTGCAATATTTGGCTGGGCTTTAGTAGCCCTTTGTGAACAAAGGGAGAAGAAGAAGACTGGAAGACGAAGAGTTAAATGTCAACAACTGTATGTAAAAATCATACTTGAGGCAGTGCAGTGCTGTGTGTTAGGGTAGCTCCATTTCTGCTTCCAAAACCACAGCCAGTGGTGCCATTTTCGTTATAAATTTCGCAAATTTGGTCAAAAATTCTCAAAGACCCAGCATCTTAACCAAGAAGCTCTCACGAAAATGTCTACTGAGCATGTCAACTCTTTGCTTTTAAAGAAGCTGGTGTTCGGCTTTCTGCTAATGTCAAAGCCATAGATAGATGATGGAGAGCAAATTTAAACAAGCTATTTTTTTTGGACTGTCATAGAATTTTAAAAATTTTTTTTTTTTTTTTTTTATAAGTTCTATTCCAATGCACTCCATAACAGTTTGCCATGTCTTTTATGGAAAGACCATCTCATTTGCTGAAGTATAAATGACATATTTTGACATTTTTCCTAAACATGTATTGATACGATGAAGCAGATCTGAGACATTCAGAAAAGTTAATCTGTCATGGAAAATAGTCTGATTTTAAAAACCTGTAGAATTATATTTCTTAAAAAGCGTAAATTATATTTAAAAGAACAGATTTGACAGCTCAGGAATAGCTGGTGTGGCATATACGGTCAGTGCCACACATTTACATGAAGTTTTGAGTGCTGTTTGTCAAATGGCATCCAAGGGGAGTTAGAAGATGCTTTCAAGTAATTCTAAGAAGAGAATAAACCCTTCAAGTGTCTAAAGATTGAAAAGTTACTGAAGCACAACTTCCAGTTTACTGCGTGGAGCCAATTGCTGCAAGGGTCTCCAAGCACTGGACAATCTCACTCAGTAGCATATATGCCACTGAGCCATTACAAACAGGGTGATTTAAGGACATATTTTCTAGTCCTTATTCTTTTTTTTTTTTTTCTTTTTTTTTTTCCCCAGCTACATCTTTCAGGTTATCTGTGTGTGGTTAGCTTATAGTTTAATTCAGTTATCACACAGGGGCTTAATGACATTGTCTCTAGACGACGTGGAGAAATCTATCTGCCTTGAATCTCAAACTGCTGCTGCATATGGTATGAATAAAGAGAGATCTGCAGCTGAAAACCTGCAGTAAGACAGTTCTCACTCATCTGGGAATAGAGGGGGTAGGACAAATGCTCCCTCAAAAGGCATGAACATTTGGACAGAGCTGGGGACTGAAGGAGAATGATGTTCTCCAGTTTCACCCATTAGTGAACCAACTAACAAACACAATGGTGTTGTTGTTATTCTTTTGCCATAAGCAACAGGACTCTGTGTGTGGGCAGCAGTTTAGTGGGGAGGAGGATAAGTCGACCCCTTTTTGTCCTATTGATTTTTTCCTATTTGCATGACTTGAGCAAATTAAATGATGCAATATGGCTTTTTGTTACAAAACAAAGTGAGAGATACCACCCAGACACATATGTTGATTCGTAGAAGCTGTTTACATGAGAATGGAGTGAAATCTACCGTGAACCGAGCATAAAAATTCGATTCAGGCCGGGTATTTCTTTTTTATTATGCTTGGGCCAGCGAGACTGGGACACAAGTTTTCCTCGAGTCTCTCAGACCCTGACAACTACAGAGTCGTAACGGAGGAATTCTTAATTAAACCTAAACCAGGATGGAGGGAAAAAAAAAAAAAAAAAAAAAAAAAAA